ACCGACCCCCAACCACCCACCCCCCACCCCCCCCCCCCGGGGGGGTGGGGGGGTGCTGCTGCTGTTGTTGTTGGGCTGCGCGGGGTGGTGGTGGAGGTGCTGCTGCTGCTGCTGCTGCTGGGCGCGGTGGTGGTGGTGCTGCTGCTGCTGTGGGGCGTGCTGCTGACGCTGCTGCTGCTGCTGCTGCTGCTGTTCTTCGTAGTGTTGCTGCTGCTGCTGCTGCTCGTATTGCTGCTGCTGCTGCTGCTGCTGCTGGGGCTGGTGTTTGGAACCCTTTTGGCGGGAACCCAGCAGCTTCTCCTGGCGCTGCTCCCCGAAGTGAGGGCTCTGCTGCTGCTGCTGCTGCTATTCTTGCTGTTGCTGCTGCTGCTGCTGCTGCGCACGCTCAGGGCGCTCGCTAAGTCGTGCTGCTGCTGCTGCTGCGGCCTGATCTGCTGCTGCTGCTGTTGCTATTGCTTCTACCTGCGCTGCTGCTTCTACAGCTGCAGCAAAGAAATACTGGAGCAAATCGAGTTGCTGCCGCTGTGGCTGCTCTGCTGCTGCTGCTGCTGCTGCTGCTGCTGCTGCTGCTGCTGCTGCTGCTGCTGCTGATTGGTTGCGGTTCTGCTGAAAAGGTGATTATGCGCAAGGTGTACACCTGAAAAGGCAACAGCAGTTCCTGTCACACCTGCTGCTGCTGCTGTTGCTGCTGCTGTTCTTATTGCTGCTGCTGCTGCTGCTGCTGCTGCTGCTGCTGCTCGCGCTCAGCAACGGGGGCGGCCGTGTGGGACAGTCTCTGCAGTAGACGGTCAACAAAAACTGCTGCTGCAGATAAAGAGCTGCTGCTGCTGCTGCTGCTCTATTGCTGCTGCTGCTGCTGCTGCTCTTGTGTTGCCGCTGCTGCTGCGGCCGAGTCACCGAAGAGACGGCGAGACCCTGCCTCCAGTGCCAGCAATAGCTGCTGCTGTTGCTGCTGCTGCTGCTGCTGCTGCTGCTGCAGACCAAAACCTAGAAAATAATGAGAAACTAATTATTAAATTTTCATTTCGAAACCTGGAAAAGAGTGTTTTGCCTAGCCGCAGCAGCGGCAGCAGCAGCAGCAGCACCTGCAGCAGAAATAAGCTCTGACATTTTTGCTTCTTTTTTATTTGTCTGTCTCTTGGTTCAGATAGGAGCCCCTGGGGGACCTACTGCCCCGGCTGCTGCTGCTGCTGCTGCTGCTGCTGCTGCTGCTGCCACTGCTTCTGTTGCTGCTGCTGCTGCTGCTGCTGCTGAAGTGTATAGGGAAATGCCCTTTAGGGTGTGCAGCAACTAGAAGCTGCCAAAGCACACAGTGTCTCTGCCACTTAGCTGCCTTGTCTTTCTAAGCAGCAGCAGCAACTTCAGCAGCAGCAGCAACTCCTGCAGCAGCAGCTGCAGCAGCAGCAACAGCAGCAGCAGCAGCAGCAGGGCTACGTATCACCATCCCCCACAGTAGCAACGGGTAGCCTACGGGCCCACTTCGTTATAGCACACGCAGCAGCAGCAGCAGTAGCAGCGGCAGCAACAGCAGCAACAGCAGCTGCAACACTAGCAGCAGCAGCAGCAACACCAACAGAAGCAGCAACAAAACCAGCAGCAACAGCAGCAACAGCAGCGACATCTACAGCTACAGTAGTGGCAGCAGCAACAGCAGCAGCTGCAACGCCGGCAGCAGCAACGGCGGCGGCAGCAGCAGAAACAGCAGCAACAGCATTAGCAGCAGCAGCAGCAGCAGCAGCAACAGCAGCAGCAGCAGCAACAGCAGCAGCAGCAGCAAACCCTGTCATTAGTTAACATCCGTATATCCCGTTTGCACCGCTACACTTCACAGAATAAGTGGGAGAGAAACAAAACAAAATATGTAGAAAAATAAACATAAAATAAATAAATAAATAATAAAATAAATAAATAATAAAATAAATAAATAAATAATAAAATAAATAAATAAATAATAAAATAAATAAATAAATAAAAGTGGAAAAAAAGAAACGGAAAGAGATGACGACGCACCGCAACCCTGCATGCAGCAAGGCAGAAATGCAGCAGCAGCAGCAGCAGCAACAGCAGCAGCAACAGCAGCAGCAACAGCAGCAGCAGCAGCAGCAGCAGTGGGAGCACTGCATCGCCTCTTGCCTAAACACTAGGACGCAATGGCTAAACCCTAAACCCTAAACCCTCGCGGGGAATGGACCAGGTTCCAGCACAGAAACTCCTTATATATAAAAAAGCGGCAAAGCCCTTCGGCGCCGAGGGTTTAGGGTTTAGGGTTTAGGGTTTAGGGTTTAGGGTTTAGGGTTTGGCTGCGGGTGCGCGGGGTGTACGTACACCCCGCGCGCCGCAGGCGCGGGAGCACTTGGGGGTTTGAAATGAAGGAAAAGAAGAAATAAATAAATAAATAAATAAATAAATAAATAAATAAATAAATAATAAATAAATAAATAAATAAATAAAAGGATTTAATTCAACTCAAACGTCCAAAACAACTTTTGCTGCTGCCCAC